TTCGTGAAATTGATTGAACAATATTTCATTTCACTTCTTACAAATTTGTTGTAAAATATGGCGTCTGACGATCTAACTTGGTAAGTACAAAGGGTCTTAAGTAATTACTTTTTTATCAACTTTAGATATTGCGGAAAAGTTTTTCTTCGAAACGTTAATCAAACTCTTAAAGCTTTACCGTAAAATATCTAATCGTCATCAAAAATAAACTTTATTCAATCCAATAATTAATAAATTGTTCTAAACTAAAGGCTTCTCGTAAAAAACAACAACTCGTTCTTGGTGAAACGTAATGGCGTGCAATTCAGCGCAGAACAAGGAAACCTTACGAATTTGAACTCGTACAAATATTCCGGACTTGCAAATAGAAAGGTAAAAAATAATCAAATGAAATTGTTGATTTATATTCATCCTTGTATTATTTTTTTTATTACTGAATTCGGATAATCAGACAATCGGAGTCATCGAGGCTGGCAAGAAAGGCGTCGTAATCATTACAAAAAAGACCAAAGTTCCCGACTGCAATCCGCGTGACTCTCTTCACAAGGTCACACTAACTAAAGGTGTTCGTCGTGCAGCCAAAAGCTTCACGAATGAATATACTCGGTCGAAGTATCGTCCGGATTTGCGAAAGGTAAGAGTGAAAAAAATGATAAGTCAAAAAAGATTGTGATAAAAAATGCAACTTGCTAGAACTCGGCAGACATATTCATGAAACTTTCAGAATCTGTTGGGTGTAGAAAATTGATTGTTGCTAGAATAATAGCAATCTTTTTGTTTTTCATGCTGTTTTGTGGATTATGTTCTAAATATCCAATCATCATCATGCTTCGTAAACATGGAACATATATTATTTATTTTCTGCAAAAGTTTATGATTTTTATAATTTTAATTGTAAATTAAATTTTATAGGAAGCGCTAGCTCGTATCTCAGCAATTTATGAGTCGCAGAAACCTTTCAAGGTTCACGCAAAGAAGAGTGGGCGTCGTCATGCGAAAATCTCAAAAAGGAACAAATGAATAGCGAATGGATGAGTAAATTTATATTAGAAGAATAAAAGAAATAAATAATCATTTAAAAATGAAAAACAAATGAATCAATTGGAGAATATGTTACTTTTGTTAATGTGAAATAATATAAATAATTTATAATTTAATAGTTAAATGATTTAAACAATAGAATAAAAATATCAAAAAAAATTATAAATAAGAAAATGGGCTTGAATTATTATAATTTAAAACAAATATAAAATATTCTTCTAAGAGCTTTTGTAATAATGTTT